CAAACAAAACGCATTGTGAACAAGTGCAACGCACTTACTTAATAAAAAAGATCACAGAGAATAGACGGCGAGAACATTTAAATATTCGTATGGACTGCAGTTTTCTAACAGCTATAAATAACAGTCAGTTAATGGAAAATGTTTTCAATATTCTCTAGTTGTATAGCTTTGTAAAATATGTTCAACATACGGTTGATTTGTTTTTATATAAGAGCCAACGGGCATTATTTTTAATTTCGCTGTTGATAATATGCAAATGTGTAGGCAAAAGAATAGAAAAGAAACGAGACGAATTTCACGACAACCAACAACAACAACAACAAAATCCTAGGCAAAAACCTGTCTGAACTAAACAAAATACATTTATATTTGCAAGCTTTACGAGATATTTGCATGTACTATACATGTGTGTGTGTGCCAGACGGTTCAATTAAATATTTTGTTTGACAACAACAACAGCAACAACAACTGCTAAACTAAATATACTTGTGTGTGTGTGTGTGTATAGACATTTAAATGCGAAATAACATTGAACTTAAGCCGATTGGCAGCTAATGCGAACTTTATTTTCGCCAACTGCAAGTGCATAAGTGTGCGTGTGTGTGTGTGTTGTGCTGCATCTTGAAAAAGAGTTAATAAACTAATTAATTGCAATCATTTAATTGGCATATTTGGCGCCCATTTTCCAGGAAGTGCAAAACAATGAAAACGCAGCGAGAAGATATTTATCTTAAGCAGCAATAAGCAGCTGCAGATGCGCGCATAAAGATACAAACACATGTAAAATAGGCCGACAAAGATATATACACATCTATCTATATATATACTTATATATATATATATGTATGCTATATATATACCGATTGCCTTTGTGCAGCCGCTATAAATATTTACAACTCTTACACGGGCAAATCAAATAATCTTTTATTCGAAAAACGATTCTCTACATTTGCCCAGTGTGTAGATAAGTTTTGATTAAATCAGGCACAGATGTGACTCGTGTGAATTAAGATACTTGAATCGGACACTCCAGTAAAGAAACATTCTCATTAGTTAATTGAAGATACATGAAAAAACTAAACTGAACTCGACCGCAAGCTGACGTCAAAATGTCGAAGAAACCGCGAGGGCATATACACAAAATTCGAGAATTCGAATTGGAAAAGGTAATGTGCATAATATCCATCTATCTGCAATGCCATTAATCTGCTGTTAATCCAATTAAATCGAATCAAAACATTTCAAAATAGCATAATAAACAAGAAAGTTTACCAAACGTACCCCAAACAAGATTCTCAATATTCAGCTGAAGTCATTTCGACTTCAAAAACTCTTTTGAAACATTTCATATTAATTATATTCGATTGAAAGGTAAAAGTAATTTTCAAGTCTGCTAAAAAGTAAAAATGAAATTTAAATAGGTTGAGCATAATTTATTTCGTTTCAATTTGTGTTTTTTAAATTATCCCAATTGATTATTATTTTCTTACATTTATATTTTTATATAAACAAATTTAAAAAATTCATCAATTAATTATTATTTTCTTAACATTTACATTTTAAATAAAACTTTTTTTTATTATAATTATTTACAAGAGTTTTAACATAAAAACTTAATATATGTTTTTATTAGAATTGTTACTATACAAAGTCGTTGCATACACACACATAGACACATATGTATCTATGTATGTATGTATGTATGTATGTATGTAATTGCACGCTTCAACTTCCTTATGTGTTATTTGTCTGCAATAAACTTGGTCGGGAAAAATATTAACAAAAAAAAGTAGAATAAGCAGGCAGAAAGATTGATAAAGCGAATAATCAGACAGTCTGTATTGACTCAGTCCATCTGCCAAAGAGAAACATTTCCTTCGCTTCTTTCAATATACATCTTTTCGAGGAATATTTTGAATACCCTCCTTTGCGGTCGAATAAGCGTCCCAATTAAAAAATCATATTTCTTTATTCACACGTGTTTTGGATCATGTTGATTTTTTCCAAATATATTTAATATACATTAAATAAATTTATTTAAATTCCTTAAATTGTTCAAGGCCCTTTATACTTATTTTAGTATAAACTAAAGCTAAAGTTGATTTTAACTGCTTAGTTCTATATCTTTACTAATTTCATTAGTTATGTAGGGTATTGCAGCTTCGGTCAGCCTGTCGATTTTGAACTGCTTTCAATTGGCACAAGGCCAAAAATCTCTTCGCTCAGCTAATAGTTAACGCTACCAAGAAAAAACTCATTTTATTGGGCAGCAAACGGCGACTGGGCATTATGTCAAAAATAGAGTAACATTAAATTCGTCTGGTCGTGCGCTTACACATACACGTATTGTTTATATATATATATATATATATATATATGTATATGTAAGCATATATTGGGCAATTACTAATTCATTTCGTGGGGGTGCATCATTTGGGGCAGGTGCCACAGATCTGTTCTAAGCAAGAGTCAATTTTTACATTTGAAATTATTTCCCTCATCAGATACAACTTGTGGATGAGTTTGACATCATCCAAATTGTTGGCGAAGGCTGGTTTGGAAAGATATTGTTGGTTGAACATCGCGGATCTCAAACTGAAATGGTACTCAAGGCGGTGCCCAAGCCGTATGTCACGCTGCGCGATTTCTATCGCGAATTTCACTATGGACTCCATTTGGGCGTACATCGGCATATTGTCACCACATACGATGTGGCCTTCGAGACGGCTGGCTTTTATGTCTTCACCCAGGAATATGCACCGCTGGGTAAGTAATCGACATTAACCTCGTCCAATTTACATCTGCTTCTTTTCCTTTCAGGTGATCTTACATCGAATGTGACAGAAACTGGCGTAGGTGAGGTGTACAGCAAGCGTATTGCTAAACAGTTGGCCTCCGCTATAGATTACATGCATTCAAAGTGAGTCAGATTATAAACATTCTCTAGATCCTGCAGATAAAACTCTCTCTTTCTTTACAGAGACATAGTGCATCGGGACATTAAGCTTGATAATGTGCTCATATATCGTTCGGATTTTCAACGTGTCAAACTTTGTGATTTCGGTGAGTCCTTTCAGTCTGGTACCACAGTGGAGCGTCGCAACGAATGGTTGCCCTACAGTCCGCCGGAAGTATTAGAAGTGAAGCCCGAAGGCACCTACAAGTAAATAACTGTACATTATTATATATATATACGATCTGCTAATGCATGTATTCCTCTTCCAGAGCCGATCCCAGTCACGATGTGTGGCAGTTTGGCATTGTTATATTCGTGTGCCTGACCGGCTGTCTGCCCTGGCAAAAGGCCTCCTCGGAGGATCCACGGTACGTCCGCTATCTGGTGTGGCAGGGCAGCATGATGATGATGCCGCTGCGACGCACGCCCAAACTGTTTAAGGTAGAGTTGAATCATCTCCCAATTTTCTATATACATATATTTACTTTTCATTTTTACACAGCTGCTGACTTCGCGGGCGCAGCGTATGTTTAAGCGATTCCTGGAGCCACGAAGCGGGAGCAGGCCAAAGAGTCTGGGAGACTTAAGCAAGTTCATGGACGATCGCTGGCTGGCCAAGACGGCGGAGAAGGAGATGGCCGAATATGAGACAGACGAACTGTGCCCCTCAATGTATTCCTTTCACAGCAGTCCCGACGAGAAGAATCGCCTGCTGTACACATTGGCGGACTGTGGAATCGAAACGAATGTCGATCGTCTGCAGAAAAAGAATCGCATAAAAGACTGGATAGAGTCGTCCATAATAACAGAGGAGGATGAAGTAGGTTCCAACAAGTTTCTACTTATGCTCTTCTGCATCGCTTTGCTTTTTTGCAGGAAGAGAACGAGGAGACCAACTCCGCGTCGCCGTCCTCGTCCGTCTCACGCGAGCCAATGCCCGGACACATCTCCTCCATACGCCAGCCACAGCAGCCGGCCAAGCCCAAGGAAATTAAGAGCACATTGAAAGATGCCACCCAGAAGCACTTTGATCCCCGCACGGGTGCACTGCAGCAGGGACCCAGCGAAATGGGCATGGCCATGCACTCGTCCAAGTCCGTTAATCTTGCCTCCACATCAACGCTCACCAATGCAGACAGCCTGCTGACACTGGGCTCCAGGCAGGATATGCTGGCCAGCAATTTGACCATTTATAACTCAATGGAAATGGAGCTGAACCGGCTAGGTAAGGGTCAGCCAACACTTCTCCAAGTCGACGGCTTTTTAAACCAGTCACAGAGCAGCAGCCTACTAACCACGCTCGACGTGCCGCCCGAGGCACAATCCTCCACACCTGCCTCCAAGAACTCCATTGGCGTTGGCACCCGGATGACTACCAAGAGTATTCTCCAGCGCTCCAAGTCCGACTCGTTACAGGCAGCCATGTACACCAGCATGCCGGCCATTGACAATGCCAACTCCTACAACGCTTTTAACACCAATAACCAGAGCCTGCAGCCCATGCAGACAAGCTATGTGCCCAATGGCAGCGCCTACTTTACGAGCGGTAACAATAACAATATTCCTAACAAAACTAATCAAATCAAAACGGTGACTTTCACGGGCTTGACTAATGCCTTCCAATCGCTTGCCCAACTCCCAGTGCTGGCTAATCCTGTAGTGCCTGCGACGCCTCCCGCAGCAATGCAATCGAATTATTTTAATCGCTCCCACCATGATTCTCAAGTCAAAGACAGCGCTTACGGATCGGCCGATGTGAACGACATGATGCACACAAGTCATCCACAGGGCCATAACACTCAGCGCCAGATGGTTTACAATGGCGCACGTGAATCCAACTTGAACATGAAGGACACGGCCTACGACCGTGTTGGGGTCACCAACAGCAATAGTGCGCGAAAGCGAAGATAGCTTGTGCCACGGTTGCATCACACACACATAAATCCAATAAAATATATACACAATTTGCAAGTTCCAATAAACATAAAACGTAAATTTGTTAAGTGTCCTGTGTTAACTCTTCAGAGAAGATTGAAAGGCAGCATTACGTTCTTAAAAAATTACGTTTCCTTTATTACGCGTAAAAATCCAAAAACAAGTCCCGGCCCACACACAAGCAGGCGACGACTCTGCTCCAGACACAGTGCTGGCGCTTACTTGAGGGGAATAAAACGTGAGCTGTGGGTGGCACCAATACCGGGCCTACCGTGCTTGACGGGCTTGTAGGTCAGCGCGAATTCACCCAAGTAGTGGCCAATCATTTCAGGCTTAACTTCGACCTGTTAACGAGGCGGAATTAGTACAAGCATTTCAGTGGGAAAAAGTTTGCTCACCTGGCCGAAGTCTTTGCCATTGTAAACGCCAATGATGGAGCCGGTCATCTCGGGCACAATGATCATGTTTCTCAGATGGGTCTTCACAATCTCTGGCTTCTCATTTGGTGGAGCCTCCTTCTTGGCCTTGCGCAGCTTCTTGATCAGGGCCATTGGCTTGCGCTTCAGACCGCGAGAGAAACGCCTGCGGGCACGGCTGTGCATCAGCTCCACCAACTGGTTGCTGCGCGCGGTGACGATATAGAAGTAAACAGTGAGGTTAGTTTTGGGACGCCGCTCAGCACCCGTGTTTAGCTACTCACTTGGGCATATCCAACAGCTGATCCAAGTCCACACCACGGTAGGTGAACTTCTTGAAGGTACGCTTCTTCTTAAGAGTTTCATCAACTTGCTGTTTTGTGTCATAGAAAAACAATGGGTATTTATTAGCACAATTTATCGCCAATTTCGTATAGAATTTAGCACGTAAAACTCTAAAATAATATTTGCAAACATGCGCAGCACATTGGACTTCGTAAATCTTCTGAACTCTTGCCGTACTGCACACGGATGCTTAATATTTTTCTAGATTTTTACACAAAAATTACATCGGCCATCTTGACGTTTGCAGTCTACGGAACGGAAAGAAACACACACCGCGGCGTTGCCACCAGACTCGAGAAAATGGCGCTGCCAGACGGTATGTTTTCTGATTGCATATATGGTCACACTGCTACAAACTGGAGATGCGTGCAATTAATCGGAACTAAATGAGCGCAAAAAAATGGTTCGAAAGAACCAAATTCAATCACAAAAATTCAAATCGAACTAGCAGAACACGTTGCTATAATGAAATCTAAACAATTTAGTGCACGATTTTTCACGTTTTAACTATGTTTGTAGTGAAAACAAGAAAAGAGTTGAAATGAAATAGCTACAAAACTTGTCTGCCGCATCGTGAGTCGCGCCACAAATATATTGTCACGCACTCATCCGCAGCAGAATCAGCTGTGCAGCGCTGGTTGAACAGAAACCCAAACAATGCTGACGTTACCAAAATTGTGTTTTAAAATGTGCACAACAGCCCAACATAATTACTTTTTCAAATAGTATTTAATGCCTTTTGCAATAGTATTCACTTGCTCAATGTAAGCCCATCACTGAAACAGACGTCGACTGCCTAGGTTTCAACAAATTGTTTCTGCTTGCACAAGTGGCGCCTGTCATTTGTGATAACAAGTGCCACAGGTAAGTGTGTGTGTGTGTGTGTGATTGATTGTGACCCTACTGTGTGAAATTATCTCTTAGTTTCTTTTTGCTTACGACGCAAACAGCTACCCACTGTCACAGAAGAACAATAAAAAGCTGTCGCACCAAATTTGCAACTTCCCGGTGAGCTCATCTGTGAAAGCGAATTGCATCATGTTCTCGCATTCGGGTCATGTTATGACGCTGGCGAACAGCATAATTGGCGTCGGCATCTTGGCCATGCCCTTCTGTTTCCAGAAGTGCGGCATCATCTTGTCCATTGTATTGCTTGTACTCAGCAATTGGATAACGCGCATCTGTTGCCACTATCTGATAAAAACTTCGCTGTTGACACGTCGCAAAAGCTTTGAAATGCTCGGACTGCACGCTTTTGGCACATCTGGCAAACTGCTAGCGGAACTGTGCATCATTGGCTACCTGATTGGAACGTGCATCACGTACTTTGTGGTCGTCGGCGACTTGGGCCCACAGATTGTTGCCAAGCTGTTCTCGTTGGATATGGCGGAGTACAATCATCTGCGCACCGTGGTCATGTTTGCTGTCACCGTCTGTTGCATTGTGCCGCTGGGCATGCTGCGCAATGTGGACAGCTTGTCAGCTGTGTGCACCGCCTCCATTGGCTTCTATGTTTGTCTTATGCTTAAAATTGTGCTCGAATCCGAGGCGCACATTGTCGCCAACGATTGGACCGAAAAGGTTACTTACTGGGAGCCAGCGGGAATGCTGCAGTGCCTGCCCATCTTCAGCATGGCGTTATCCTGCCAAATGTAAGTACTCTTTACTCTTTAAATTAAAGCGAACTATATTTATAACGAATACTCTTTTGATTGCAGGCAACTTTTTGAAGTCTTCGACAGCATCAACAACCAAAGTCTGGACAAGCTGAATGGAATTGTGCGCAATGCAACATGGATATGTACACTGGTCTACATAGCTGTTGGTTTCTTTGGCTATGTGGCTTTCTGCACGCACAGCTTTTCGGGTAAAGCCAAAAATATATCCCTATAATTTCATAAATGTTAATAAACCAGATTTCTATTTCAGGTAATATCTTGGTTAACCTATCGCCCTCATTTGGCAGCGATATAATCAAAATTGGATTTGTGCTATCGATTGCATTCAGCTTTCCCCTGGTCATATTCCCGTGCCGAGCCAGCATCTACTCCCTCTTGTACAGAAAGGTTAGGATTATAATTTGTTGAGAATGATGAGAGCTTAATATAATTTATATTTACAATTCCAGCAGGGGCACACGGAGAGCAGCAATTATATACCAGAGCAGCGGTTCCGGTTAATTACACTCTTTATCGTTATCTTCTCGCTGTGTGTGGCGCTTGTGATTCCATCTGTTGAGCTAATCATTGGCCTGGTGGGTTCCACAATAGGCGTGGCCATATGCATTATGTTTCCGGCATCGAGTTTTCGCAAGATCATTAGAAAGGAATCAACGGAACGCACCTTGGCACAGTTTGTATTCGTAAGCGGCTTTTGCCTGATGATACTCGGCACATATGCCAATTTGAATGCCATAGACGCCCAGGGCTCTGGTCCACAGTTTGACGGTGTACAAATGGTCACACCATTGTTGCCCAACGAAATCTCACCGCCCGCTGTGGGTCACGATTTGAAGAACTCCGAAATAATTAAGCTTTTAGTGAAAAGCAGCGACGCAGAAGTTAAAGAAGTTCTAGAAAAACTTGAAGATGCCAAACGTGAACCTGTCGCACATAGCATAAATATTGTCGAGAAATCAAATATTGCGGGTGCTTCTTCGGACAATCAACCGATGCCTCCGTTGCCTGTCGATGAATCACATAACGTGGATTCGAAAAAGGAAGCGCCGCCGGTTAAGTCTGAAAGCATATCAAAAGAAGAGCACAAACCAGTCGAAGGAAATGTTGTAAAGAAAAACTTGACGAGCTTGGAAAAATCACCTCCAGCAAATATGCCAGTCCCTAAACCAGAAACTTCTCAATCCTTGGACCTGGCTGCGCAGCGAACCATAGACGGAGCTGCCATCAAAAAGGAAGAGGAAATTACAGCTGAGGAGCAAAAAGATAAAGCAAATGCAGACGAATTGCGTAAAACAGAAAAGGAACTTCAAGAAAAAATGAAGGCTTTGGAACGCACCGTGGACAAGCTAAACGAGGAGTTGGCAAAGCAAAAGCCGCAAAGTCCAGATACAATGAAACTTTTGGAGAGCAGTGTGGATAAACTGAACGATCAATTGGCCCATCAAAATGGTGATAATCCAAAACCTTTAGCTGTAAACGAGCTAGATAAGGCACTGAATAAGGTCAAAGAAAACAATCGTAAGAAAGAGAAGGAGGAGTCACAATTCCAACCCCAGCCTCATCTCCAACCACAAGCCCAGCCCCAGCTCCAACCACAACCACAACCCCAGCCTCAAGACGCCAACAACACAAGAAAGGAACGCAAGCCCGCCTCACTAATGGAAATGCTCACTGAGAATGCTCATGCACGAGACGAACAGGAAGCTCATGCTGGCGTATTTGAGCCGCTCTCCTACAAAACGGGTGAGCTGCTCAAGAATGCAACTCGCGATGCGCCGTTACTGGCCCAACGACTGCCGCTGCCTTTGGTGCTGCTCTCGAATTCCACTCGGACAAGAGCTAACAACACCTTAGCCGCCGAACTGCCGGTCAATAAAACAACCAACGCGGACAACGTCGAAGCCATCAGGCGAGAGTTGTTGCAAGTGAATGAGCCACAGGTTGGGACTGCGCAGCCCGCGGTGCGCGTTAAACGCGATGCCAACGAGAACTGTCTTCCCGAGCCCAAGTTAAACGAGCTCAAAAATAGTGCACTGGTCGGCCTCAGCCTGCAAATCGAGAACATGGGTCGTGAACTGAAATCCGTTAAGGATGATGATCTCGAGACGACGACGACGATGACGATGACTACAACACCCAACACAGAACTGGATGCAAGATAATACGCGCTCAATTGAACTGCAAACACTACCAAAAAAAATGATGTAACTGTTACAATTGTATTTACATTACGTAACTGTTACCTACGTGTTCAGATTATGTAAATGTTACATATGTATTCAGATTGTGTAACTTTTACATATGTTTTCCTATTACGTAACTGTTACATATGTTTTCACATTGTGTAAGTAACAGTTACAAAGATGTATGTTACATATGTTTCCACATTTCGTAACTGTTCCTTATGTATTCAGATTGTGTAACTGTTACATATGTTTTCACATAATGTAACTGTTACAAAGATGTATGTTACCATGTATTCAGATTATGTAACCGTTACCTATGTATTCACATTATGTAACTGTTACATATGTATTCATATTATGTAACTGTTACATATGTATTCAAATGTACAGCTCCAGTGTAATGTTCACAGGGCCAAAAAGCTTTATGTACATATATACATATATTAACTTATTATTATTGATAATGATGTATTAGTTTAGTATCTAGGAAAAGATACGTAAATATGCTAAGCAATCTATATATAGATACGTATATATATAACGGTTGGTTTTTTTTTCTTGATTGATTGAAGATTAACGCACAGCCCAAAAATAAGACGGGTTTTTTGAAGTGGACATAGTTTGTATGAAAAATATTAACAATATCTGAACGTCTGACTAACAAGAGATCGCCGGCTCAAATTAATTTAAAAGGTTTTGTATCTGTCTGAATTTGGCAAGTGAAACTTTTTTTAATGACAGATTGATTGATGAGTCACAAGAGAAGTTGGTTAAATGGGCAAAAACTCTATAGGATTGGCCTTTGCATATCTTTTTTGAAATCTAAGCCTCCGAATTTTTAAAATACACCTTCAGTTCATGCTTAACATTTGACTTGAGCCGATCAAAAAAATTATATATATTTTCAAATATTAAATGCCTGTGCTGTAGATTGTGCACATGTCAAAATTATTTGATATTTAGTTGTCGGATTGTCAAATGTTAAGCAATAGCCCAAATTCTTAATCCAAATTACGCAGTTTATACAATTATATAAAGATGTCAATAGTTTTGGATGTTGTGCAGAAGATAGTTTTGAATAGCGCCTACGAGCTAACATGCGCCGCCGCCGCACAAGTCTTGAACAAATGCAAGATCGTAAGTAAAAACTCTTTAGGAATTGTTACATTGGCTTATAAATATTGTATCAATATCTTATAGATGGACGTGATAACAGCTAAAGATTATGAAAATCCAGAAACGAAGGATAATATGAAGAGCGAAGCGAAAAATAAAATAGACATAGAAGTGCCCGACCCGCCCGGAGGCCTAGATCTCAGCAGCAGAAAGCTAGAAACACGCTGCGTGGTCTCCCAACTTGATATGGCCTACAGGAATAGTGGGCCCATTTGTCCGCCACAGACGTCCAGTATGCGATTGGTGCGGAACAGCTACTTCTCTTAGATAAAAGGCAAGCGCTGGCATAGATAAAATAACTTTAATATGTATAAAGAGAGAGACAGAGAGAGTATCGGATGATCCACAAGTTGGGTAACAAATTGAACAACTAATTTGATGGTTATGCACATCAGTGGCAGCTAACCAATTAAGTGTGTATTGGATAAATTTTGTATCATTTAGAATTATATGGTATCTCTGCAGGCGGAGAGAGATTCGTTGACTTTGTAATTTTGCCTAGACATCCGCGCCGAGCGCATGCAGATCGTTCAGCACCTCCAGCACTGTGCCCACACTCCAGGCCTGCGTGCGACAGGAGTCGTTGCAGTAGCTGCCATTGTCGTTGGTCAGCTCGGGCAGGCCGCGCCAATGGGATGTTTGCATCTCGCGCAGATGTGCCCGCAATATGGCCCACGTCTCGGCAATGGTCTCGTCCAGGTAGCCGCACTTCTTGGCGAATATGAGACGGGCGCGCAGATAGAAGCCTATGGGCCACACCCATTCGGGTCCCTGATGATAGTTGGCGCCATGTGCCACGGTGCAGTCAGCCGAATCGTTGGAGTTGTCGTAATTGGCTCTGTAGTTCCAGTCATCCGGGTCCAATGTCTTCATGCCCAACGGGCCAAGCAGATACTTTCTGGCCTGCTCCAGGGCACGCCAGGCGTTCTTCGGATTGCACAGTTCCGGGGCCACTGTCAGCGTTATGGGAAAGTTGCAGCGCAGCTGGAAGTCTGTCCAGTCCTGCGTGGCTCCAAAGCTATCCTTGTAGATGCCCTTCTTGTTGGCCACCGATGTTCTGTCCGTGTCCTTGACAAAGAAATTCGCATCAAAATTGTTCTGTATGCGATCTGCCCACTCCTTGTAGCTCCACTTTGTCAGCTCGCCGGACGGACCCTTGCGTTCCACGCCGCTGTGCGGAATAATCTTTCGCTCGCTAAGTCCCTGCATGAAACGCAGCACGGCGTACTGCAGGCCAACCAGTTCCACGGCGGAGCCATCGCGCGGCGTGCTGGGTCGTCCGCGATTGCCCGCCTTCTCGGAGGAGCCCATTTTGTCCATCCAGGTGCCGCAGTTGGCGCTGTTGCCGCCAAACACGAAGCCCGTCTCCGGATGCACTCCAATGTGATTGTTGAAACCCTGATCGACCATGTGTGCATCTATTTCCTGGCCGGCATTGCGTTCCCTATACTGCAGACCCTGGAAGTGCACCTGCAGTGCCTCCTGCATGACGTCGTGCAGCAGCTGATCGAAGGCGCCAGGCGGATGAGGTTCGGAATCATCATAGGGGAAAATCCGTGACACCTTATCGTTGAGTATAGCGGCACCCTTCGGCGCCTCGTTCACGTACTGGGCAATGCTGTGCATCCACCACCAGACCGCATCGCGGCAATTGAAACGCGGCTTAACGCCATTATCCAACAGATTCGGTATCAGGCCATGTCGCATGGCCGACGCAAAGCCAATTATGATAAAGCGCGCCTCCGTAAAACGTCCCGTGAGCAACATTGTGCCGCGCAGTGCGATGAACGTGTCCCGGCCCCAGCAGCGCATATAGCCTGCAAAGGAAGAGTAGTTATTAATTAAACTGAATAGTTGCACGAAAAACAATTGACTTCGTTACCTGTGGAAAAGTGGGGCAGGCCAGCGGACAAGGTGACGCACTGCTTCGGCGGCTTTGGTGGGCTGAGCGCAAGGCTAAAGCCCGGCAGATTCGCCGAATTGCAAACGGCCAGGAACTGGAGCGTCGAGAGCGCCAGGGATTGTGTAAAGTTATGACCATCGCGTATAAAACTGAAAGGTAAAAAGAATAATCAGTACATAACGGGCATGTGGTACAGCTGATATAAGAATCTAATCTCAGCCATAAACTATATTACTTAGGTAATTCAATAACCATATAATACATAAGCTATACGAATCTATAGTCAATTTTCAAGTGATAATTCCTGGCCAAGCTACGTGATTTATGTTGTTGTCCGGAAAAGAGGAGAGTTTATCGTTTAAACCAACAGCTGCCCTTGGGTTCGACTTGTCAACCCGGTTTTATACATTCTTGAAACCATTTTCAACATTTTCATGAAACATTTCAATTTTAAATTGCCCGTTCTACTGAAAATATTGCATGCCTAGATATTTCCATCTAGAAGTTGCGGGCTAAATTTAATCTCTACCCAAAATTTTCATCTAACAAATATGTTTAGATAGATCCAATTTCTTATGATATTTGTGCTTTGGGGCTGGGCGCCTCAGACTTAAAGGTTAAAAAAAATTGAAACCAAACAATTTTGGTTGATTTTGGTTCTTGTAGCAATTGGTTATTTTTTTTCAAGATAAGATAAGATACGATAAGATATTTATATAAAATTAGCGAATTGCAGCTTTGAAAGTAGTTAACTGTTGATATCTTTTCTCCAAAATGTGACGAGCAATATTTAAGTCGAAAGACGAAAAATAATTCTAAGTTGAGCAGTCATATTTTTATACCCTGTACCCATTGAAAATGGGTTAAACGGGTATAATGTTTTTGTGCAAATGTATGTAACAGGCAGAAGGAAGCATCTCCGACCCCATAAAGTATTTATATTCCTGATTAGCATAAATATCCGAGTCGATCTAGCCATGTCCGTCTGTCTGTCCATCCGTCCGTCTGTCCACCCGTCCGTCTGTCCACCCGTCCGTCTGTCCATCCGTCCGTCTGTCCGTTCATCCATCCGTCCGTCCGTCTGTCAATCCATCCGTCCGTCTGTCCATCCGTCCGTCCGTGCATCCGGCCGTATCTATGAACACGTCGATCTCAGAACCTATAAGAGCTAGAGACTAGAGAAATTTTGAACGTATGTACTTCTAGTGCCCGCTCAGTACGAGCTTTTGTTTCCGATAATCGATAACTTGCCCGTTTCCAAGCAATCGATAAAAATCGATTCAAAATTCTGTTTTTTGGGCAAATCTCTTTGGTTTCAAAGGCTAGAGTCAGCAAATTTGACATGCAGCCTATAGAATGGTATATACAGATCGAATATCCTTCCCTTTCCCCATTATCACGAGCTGCATTTGGTGTTGGTAACAGAAGGTTCAGGGTATCCCCTAGTCGGGCACTCCCAACTGCAGCTCTCTTACTTGTTCGATTTATGGGCGTGGTAAAAGTATTATCCAAAAGAGATTATAAACTATCAGACTATTTGCTGACATGGCCCTTACACTATGGATTGTCGTAAGGATTGCTCGAGAATAATATAAAATAAATGTGTTTCTTTTGGACACTCACTCGGGCATCAATTGATTGACCTGATTGACCAGTACATTGTAGACACCGCTCACAATGGTATCAAAGTAACAGGGTATGAGGTAGCGTGGCACGTTCTTCAACGGATCAAAGGTTGCCCTAAGCCAGCTCGACAGGGGTTTCAGATCCGCAAAGTTATTGAGGCGATCGGCAATGTAATCTAAAGAGTAGCAAGAGATTAAATGGTATTTTGTTTGACCAAAAAGTGAACACAATTTAGCTGACCCATCATCCAATTGCCATCCCGCAAGTTGTTGCACAGTGGATGGCCCAGGTCGTCGCGTGGTGAAATCTCCGTCAGCAGCGAGACGAAGCCCTGCAGGCCACAGTACACAATGGGCCCAAAGTTGGGTATATCATAGGCGGAGCCACCCAGGCCCATGTCGCGTTCCTCCTGATCACAGCTGAACAGCGCCCGACTCAATGCTGGTAAATCCAATTTGGAGACAATCGACTTGAGCTCTTCACACTGGGCACCCGACTCCAGGCGCAGAGCATTCGTGACCTGCTGCAGGCGATCGAAACTCTTGCGGGCGCTGGGATGCATGGAGACACGGATGGCGACCACAGTGCCGGGACGCAGATTGGCAAAGTTGAGCTGCGTGTTGTTGCCGTCCGTGTAGAGGCTTGTCTCGAATACTTGCGACTTGGTGAGCGGTATGTGTTCCTGCAGCGACAGCTCGAACTGTGTGAAGCCGTTCAGCACATGGTCGTCCTTCTTGAAAGGGGCCGGACGATCGAAGGGCTTGTCGCTTTTCATGGTCAAGTTGGCCTCGAGTATGATCTCGTCTAAGACGCCCTCGAAGCGCAGCGGGCGCACATTGGTGGCGCCAGCATTGGGATGCGGATAGCTAAACGCGGTGTGGGCAACCAGGATGACCGTCTGGTGTGTGCTGGGCGAGTGACGCGTCACGGCGACCACATTGGGATCCATTTGATCTACGTACACCTGACTGAAACCCTCCTCCGCCAGCTGGCCGTGCAGTATATTCAAGGCGCGCTTGGCGGCTATAATGCCCGTTTTAAAGTCAACGCCCTTGCCCCACTCCTGATACGGGCGTTCCTCGTCGACCACATGAATCTGTGAAGCAAGCGGTTACCATTAGACATGATGAATCACTTAACTAGGTGCATTTGGACTTACATGATGCGGAACTAGCTCATCGTAGCCGCGATTGCTGCCCGTGGCACAACAGGCCATCGCCACCAGCGCCGATGAGGGCAGCAAATCGTAGACTGAACGCTTCTCAATGGGTGAGGGATTGTCGTGTGTCAGGTCCATGAAGAGCGCATGCGCCACGCAGGGCGCCGCATCACGATTGGGATTCGCAAAGAAGCCGCCGACAGGTCCGCCACCGTAACGGTATACCAGGCGACCCTGCTCATGGGAATCCCAAGCGGAAAGAGCTTCCCGTATCAGAGACGTAATGCCCAGCCGGTTGACGAAGACATTGTCGGTGCCGTCGGAGTTGGTAAATAGCTCGGCGACCACATACAGCTCGGGATTGATTTTGCGTGCCGCATCCAGCAGATACTCGGCCACGTGCAGCGGCGTCGAATGGCAGTTGTCCAGACGTACGCCGTCGAAAATACGCGCCGTTTTCTCTACATACTCGGTCATGTGCTGCCACAGGTAGGGACTGTCCTCCGGGCGTTTGCCGAAACGCAGCTTAACGCTGTCGCCCCAGGAGATTAGCTCACGCTTTAGATAAACATTTCCGCGATTTTGCGCCTCGGCAAAGTCCAAGAGCGGATCACTGGAGCCCATCACCCAGCCATTGTGGGCCATAAAGAACTCGCCCGCTTGCCCGTACATATCCTCCTCGATCTCCTGCAGCGATTTGCCCTCGATTCGTGTATGCGTAAAGTAGGTCATGAAGACCGGATGCTTGATGGAGATTTCTTGCACACGCGGCCCGTCCTGCTGGACGCGCTCGTACCGCACGCCCGCCAAGCAGTTCTCGATGGCATAGTTGAGATGGCCTTGGAGCTCGGCCCGGATCTGCTCATTGAGCGCTTCGAGATGATGGCGCAGTGTCTCGGCGCATTTGCGGAAACGTGACTCCTCATCGAAACAGTCGCCATGGAAAGCATTAAAGATGTCCAATGCCAGCTCAAAATCAATTGTGCTACCCAAGCGACGATATGCCGGGTCCTGTATCAGTTGAATCTCCTGGAAGCGCGACTCCTTCGCCACATTCTTGGGCGGCTCACGTGTGCGCACCTGCGACATGAACTCGTTCACGTACTTCATCACGTCGCACTGATACAGTTCGTGTATATTGACCTTGGATAGGTAGGCATTATGCAATTGGTACTTTAAAGCTTCCAAATGGCACTCCTGATCGATGATCTCGGGCACGCCCACATGCTCCAGCTTGCCCGCGGCTATGTCTTCGCTGCACTGCGCCAGTGCAGCATCAAACAGGAAAGCCGGACGCAAATAGGGGCATGTGGCGCACGAGTAAGTCGCGTCCGGATGCTTCAGCAGCCAATCGGATTCATTGGCCGTGTGATTAAGCACAATGTCGCAAATGGAAGCTACCTAAGGAGCATATACATATATACGGGAGTATTATAAAGGCAGCACGGAATAGCTCAAGTACTTACGCCCCATTCCTGGCGGCACTTCTTAATAACCTTCTCCACATCCTCAAACGTGACCCGCTCACCCTTCTTGGCCGCAAAGTTGGGGTTGACACTTAACTGATCACGCAGCGAGTAGCCGGACCGTGACCCGCCCAGCTCCTGTATGGGCGTAAAGTGTATGACATTGTAGCCGGACTCCTTGGCCACGCGCAGCTTCGCCTCCCACGTGTTCAGCGGACCCAGAAGCTTGGCCATCACCGTTTGACAGCGTATAGAATTGAGGGGTATTATCTTTTGGGCACCCGCTGGACCCACATGCAGCGTGGGCTCCACCTGCACATACAACGCGCCATCCGGCTGTGCGTCCGGCTTGGCTTCCCTAGAATCAAAGGGAAAATTACCAATTAATATATTACATATATATTGATATATATGTTCACTCACCGATCGGCAAATCGGAAGTAGAATCGAAACGTGCCCGACAAGTTCAACTGCAGCTCGCTGTAGATGTCCGTGTCCACCACATGGACATCCGGATGCTTATCGCTAGTTATTTGCTGGCCATCCCTCAGCTGCCAGCCGAGCACGCGATATTCGGTGCGCACAAACTTCTTGCCCTCGTCGGGATAATTGGTGTGCAGCAGGATTTTGCGGCCCAGCAACGAGACATCCGGATGCACGCGCAACTTGGAGCCGCGCTTCAAACGATATAGCACATGCTCAGCATTTGTGCCCTCCGCAATGGGTATGCTGTGCGATTCGATGTCCTTGCTCATTGTTAAAACCTGGAGGGGAGTAGAGGTAAGAGATGTGCTACGCTTTAATATATATACATGTGTATATGGATGTGTTTGTGTGTGTGAGCGTGTGTGTGTGTGTGTGTGTACATAGATGATCACAGAGATATGCCATTATATAAAACTTTGCATTGAGACAATCAATTTGATTCGACTCGATTCGATTCAATTCGTTCTCAATGTCACCCCAATAAAAATAAAATAAAAAAAAAATTAAGCAAATACAATATGAAATATGTTTCACATGGAACTATAGAAAACTATTGCCATTAATTACAACTTAATTGTTGAAGAATGTTTTTGCTTAGATTCATATTTAATGAAACCTTCCCCTTTAAATGTCAAATAGTTAATTATAGTTTTTACTTTAAGCTTTATATTTATAGTTCTTAATGTGAAGAATTTTAATTACAACTTCGTTTTTTTTAATCTCCTCTTTGTACATTTAATATTTAATACCATTTGCTAGTTCCAGAGTATTCTTAGATTTAAGAATATTTTCAGGATATTTTTCTACACATAAAATTATAGCTGCCAGGACTATTTTATAGCTTTTAGTTTTTGATTATAATTTCTTGATCTGATTTATAGTTCCTGAGTCAGGCGCCAGTCTATTTTTAGTTAAGATAGTTTTAGCGATTACAACAATAGCGATTACAAGACACATACACAAAAGCAAACAGTTACAACACCACAGTGCAAGTAATTTATAGAATTATAGAAGCAATTTCCAAAAAAGAAATATATATATTTATATATATAGGGACGACTTTTAGTAACTAGAACACGAGGAGCACACGGCACAGACTGAAACTGTCGCTTGGCGCTCGATTGTAGCTGTTTTTTATTAAGTCTGTGCTATGCTTTTCCCCAATACACTCACATAAATGTGCACACACATATGCACTTATATACATACATATATGTATGTATATGTATAGGCACACGTATGTGCATATTTACTACATAATTACAATCAGCGATTGTGTAAATACCTCACTGTGGTGTTTTTGTAAAGATTTGCTGCGTCCGACTCCGGAGCGGCTGATGCTACTGCTGCCTGCATTCCCCATAACTGCTGTGGCACTAAGCTTATTGGCACTAATCGAGACTGGCGCCGACTCAGCCGGCACAGCTGTAGCTGTAACTGTTGCTGTAGCTGTAGCTGCTTCTGCTTCTTCTTCTTCTCCTTCTCCTTCTCTTTCTCTCAGTTCAGTATTCGCTTGTGCCGGCACCTTATCAAAACTTTGCACTGGCTGCCGCCTTTGCTGCTGCTGCTGCTGCTGCATCCCGCCATTTACCGGTCCCGTTGTTAGTTGCGCATAGTATTCGAGGAGCCAGCGAAAGAACTGATAGCCCATTAGGATGTGGATCAGTGCATAGAAATTGCGCCGTGTGCTCTTGTAGAGCCACCTGAGACCCTCGACTAGCATTGCGTAGCGTTATCACGAAAAGCTTGAAATGAAATTTGGAAGCGTTTCTCGGTTGTTTTTTCTTGCGAGTTTAGTGCCGGCTGCGGTATTAAAGCTACTGAAAGCTAAACCAATTGCGTTCGTTAATGAACCATTTTAAATAATACATAATAAAAGCAAAAATGAACAAGTGCGCATACTAATTGCATTCAGGTACATACATACGAATGTGAGTGCGTGTTTTATACCTATATAAAGCGGCGCAGAAGCTTTGCAATGATTATAAGACTTATAGAGCTTTTCGCCCATGACTTTGGTGCATTTCTTTGCACGCAAAGCTTACATGATAACTGTTAATGTTCGTTATCGATTCAAAGTTATTTCTTTTTATTATACTTCGAATCAGTAAAGCCATTAAATACAGTGGTTGCTCGTTAGTTAGAATTTTCCAGAATTAGAATGAATAATTATATATATAAAATTTATTATTTTTTTCTTCTGTTTAAAACCACATTTCCAATCGAAATTTTTCGAAAAGCTTATGAATTTCATCGGTATCCCGTTTTCCTTTAAGCGACCACTGTATTTAATTCTCGTAGCGGTTACAATCATATACATTCTCAATAATTTTTAAATATACACATTTTCTACACTCAAACCCACATGAATTAGTTTTCCTGTGGTAGAGCTTTTATTTTTTACCGGTTAGGAATGTTCTGTTTTACTTCCTTATAAATTCTTTATTTTGCCAAAATGTTGGCATTTGTTTTTATTTGACAACAATTGGTGTAAATGTGTTAAAAATAGATTAAAATTTCTTGCGTCCATTGACCTACATATATACGCACTTATACATAGACATATGTTTGTATGTAGTTTTAGGAGCACCCTTTCGAAAACGTTACATATTGCTGAATGATAACGGTCTGCTAAAGCAATAACTTATTCAAATCCAACTTTACTTAACTACTGAACACATGTTTGACAGCAATGCTGTGCACATGATTCATATTTTTGATCGTAAACACTTAGATAATGGTTATTTGTTTGCAGACTCTGTGCTAGTTTCTAACTAAAAATGTGTGCACACTTGATTTAGTTGAATTTATTTTGTGATAATTTTAATTATAAATTTTATAAATAAGTCACCAACTATTTTCTTGAATTTGTTGCACCAATAACTGTGATCTGCCGCTGAATTACACTTTACCAGCAAATAAATTCCTCAATTCTCTTTTTTTATTGAGCTCAAGGTGACCTTTCAAGTTTTCGTGCGCGCGTCAGCTGTTTCGGCTTGAGAACGTCGCACCCTCAGTTGCTGGTAAACAAAAATCAGCTGTTCGTCTGTTTTGTTTTCTGTAGTATTGTGGTGGTTACTTGATGTACACATTCATCTTGACTGTGTGTGTTTACTGTTTGTATGTACGTTAGTTTATAATTAACCTATGTTGGCAAATTGCGAATACATTTTTAGTCGCGATCACACATATTAATATATTCGTTTTACACGCAATTTTTCATTCAGTATTCGCATTTAATTATGTACGGTTACTCACCTAATGGTTATATATTTGCCAACACTGTGTTTCTTTGCAATTAACAATCTCTTAAACATATTGTGCACAACTGTGTAATCTATAAATGTATTGTTTAATTAGTTTTACTGCAGTGCAGAGACGCAAAGTGGACGGTAGCATTTTTAGAAACAATTTAGAACTGGCCAAGAAGACTAAAGCGTGCCTTTCGATATCGATTAGTTGCTAGTTATCGGAACTGAACTAGTTGAATCAGTTGGCTCTCGTAAGCATTTTGCGCTACGTAATTACGCATAACGGTAACGACCTTACGCAAGGCGCGCTAAATGTAAATCGTTCGAAAACTCTTTTTGAAGTAGAGCTTATCAAATGTGTTGCATTAAATGGGTGAATTTAGATAATAATGCACTTTAAATGCTTAAAGAGAACTAAAAATTGAACCCTTAAAACCGACTATAAAAACACCGCAAAATCACACCTATTTCCCAACGACCCTTTGTCTAGTATACGAATGGCCAGTAAATGTTTAATTTTTCAATAATACAACGTTATAATTTGTTTGTAAAGTGTTTTGTTTATTAAATTTATTTGTCTTAATTGCCATATGCATACTTTTCTATAGTACGCATATTAAATTCATAATTGTAAGTATACATATTTGAACAATTCTCTAGCAACATTATATTATTACAACAGTGAGGCGCATACCTGCAACTACATTCTATTTAGTAACTTAATTTAACTGGCACTAAGTAAAAAGCACATATTGAATCTTTTGTTCTTGCTGCTGCTGGTCGCAGTCGCTGCAGTCCTATCATTTTCGCACCGTAAACACCAACGGCGCCGACTCATCCTCCTGCTGCTCGAGCAATGTGGTTCGAATAGCTCGTATTGAGGCATGCTGCTGCGCCTCGATATCCTCATATTCAATGGATGTGGAGCGCAGCAGCTGAAACTGCGAGTTCGCGTCAGTTTTGGTAATGATCAGTGAGGCGGGCCTGGGACCTAAAATAAAAGCAGAATATTCCTTGTTAATTTGGGAAAGCGGACTAAGCAGATTTATATTACCTGCTGGCGGCTTGGTGGTTAGGCGACCTTTGCTGCTGCCTGGGCCAGACGCCAGTTCCATTTGGCGCTCCGTAACGTACTCCACATTTGGCGTTAGCTTTGCATTATTATTATTATTGTTGTTGTTGTTCATACTGGCCAGATTGCTGCCGCTGGGTGTTGGCTTGATGGATACCCGCTTCTCGGACTTGACGCTGCCCTGTTGCTTCAGTATCGAGTCGCGGCGTTGCTGCATCGGGGAGCCCGAACTGAGCAGCGTTGGGGTGAACATGGCACCGGCGCTTGACAGGTCAAGGTCTATAAATTATATTGACGTTTGATAAAAATAATGTTAGACATTGATTAGGGATACACTAGGGCTAAAGGGGGGGAAGTACACAGAATATAGACAAAAATTAGCAACCAGATGCTCGTGTGGATTTCGTTAACAGATTTGTTCTTTTTCTTTATATACGAGTTGATGGCAATGCAGAAATCCTTTTCCACTATAAATAAAGGGCTTACATATATTATATGTACATATGTACCCGACACCTTTTGTTAATAATTATTTACAAGCTAAACTAAGTAAAATAGCAAACAATTATTTCATGCGTTAATCAAATTAAAATTAAACCATTTTCTTTCCAAACATATACACACATATGAATACAATAAACTACAATAAAATACAATTGTAAACAGTTGTTCGTATGATAATTTATTTATTATTTGCTTAAGTTAATAATTATGTTTTTTGGAAGCAGCATTTTGTATTTGCCAGATGGTTAGTTGTTCTTCTAATTATGGTTTATATGGCAACTTAAAACTAAATTTAAATAATCGTGCAGTCGTTTTATGTAATACATATGGTAAATGCTAAACCAAAATAATGTCGAATACGTTTAAACATTTAAGAACCTAAGCACAGCTATATTTTAGAGTTTAGCTTAGGTTATTTATGAACAATTGCCGATCCATAAAATAGATCAAATTAAGAAATAACACAAACAAAAAAAAAACATTTATAAATGCGTTAAAGTGTATAAAAGCAACATTTCTCTATTGAAGCATTTGAAACGAAACTTCGAAAGCGTTTTTAAATGTTTAACAAATCCCAGTCACATTGTGGTAGTATTTGCTCTAATGGCACATTTATAGATTGTTAGCCAACTAATATTGTTTAGTAGGTGTTTTTTTGTTAACTTAAGCTTAAAACTATGCCACATCTGTACCTTACATATTTTATACTATTATTATTATTAGACCTTACATACATATATGTAAGGACATGCATATTATATCTATTATTTTGCGTTCGAATTGTTTTCACAGGTTCGTTGGTTAGGAAGCTCATTTTGAATACAGATATGTTTGTTAGTATATATAGTATACATTTATAAAGATAGTCGAAATCTTCGTCTTTTTTGCGAGGGCGATTCATAATTTGGTATCATCATAGATTTTATCTGTGTTGGGCACCACCACCACCATGGGCACCTTTGTATAGGGCGTCATGGGCTCGATCAGCAGCTCATCGGCAATGGAACTTGGACGCGCAGCCAAGCTCGGTTGATTGTAGAACCTAGCCCCACTACCACCACCACCATTATTACCGTAACCTGCACCCACATTAATTAAATCGGCTTGACTGTCGCTATTATAGCCATTACCCGGCTGCAACGGCAGGCCACCAGCAGCGCCGGCGGCGTTTAGACTTTGCAGGGAATGCGAACTGGCGCTGCGATTGTATTCATTATTCAAATACTTTTGTTGCTGTGCATTATTGTTGTTGTTGTTGTTGTTGTTGCTGCTCTGGCTGTTGTTGTTATTGGCATTGTACTGCAGCAGATTGTTAATATTCTGATCATCCGATGGCGAACCAAACTCGGAACTCTCGCGAATGGGTGCTAATTGCAGCTGTGCAGCTGCAGCTAACATCTCACCTGTGGGCAAACCAGACGGGCTGGGTCTTTCACTGCTGGCCACATCCTCGAAGGCCTCCTCATTCAATGTTTGCAACGCGCCGCAAATCATTTGCTCCTCAAGTGTAACCTGCATAGAGAGAAATGTTTATTAATATTATACAGAATCTTTAAGGCGAAGCTTTGGCTATTTAAAGCATGGGCATGGAAATATTTGCTTTTTGCTTTGTTACCTGTAGATACTCATAATCATGGATTTTCGGCTTTATTGGTAAGCATGTTACAGACAAAAAGATAAACACAATTTGGCACAGAGATGAGCTCGTGTTCTGCTTGGTACTCTACTCCCCCCTCGATAACTAACCTGCTTCTCCATATGACTAACAGAGTTCCGGCGTGACAGCGGCGGCGGCGGTGGCAACGCATCTGTCACGTCCCTGATCGCGGCCACATTTGCCGGCACCTCTGCAATGGCGGGTTGTGGGCGTATTTTGCGCGGCAGCCGCTCGACATCGCGCAGCGTTGTGATGAGCAAACGAAACAGCTCCCAATGGCCAAAGCTCAGA